GGGCGGTTTTGGGGTGTTGGGGGGGTGTATGGGGGTATCGGGGGCCGCTATGGGGTTGTTGGTGGTGTTATTAGGGGTTCTGGACCCCCCCCCAAAAAAAGAAAATATTATTACTATTATTATTATTTTTTTTTTTTTGCGGAGTGCCGACGACCCCCGACCGGTAGGTGCCGACGACCCCTGACCGGTAGGTGCTGACCAGCCGATCGGTCAGCGGGTTGGCAGCCGACCAGTCAAGGGCCGCCGACCATCGGGGGGTGCAACCCTGTCTAAAACACAAAAAAAAAGATATCTCCAGTCTTATGTGTGCGGCGCTATGTGCAGCCAAACATGGACAGACTCAAGCTATGCAGGCTATTTCGTTTTTCCTCTGTTTTTTTTTTTTTTTGCAGACTCTTTCAACATGTATCCCTTTCCAGGGGGTAGGTTCTGACATAATTGTATGCAACATTCCAACAAGATTTGGGGTTTGATGATAACTTTGATCTCTTTTTTTTTTGTGTTTTAAGATTTGGTCAATAGTTACATGTATGGCCATTGGGGATACCAGAGTGAGTAGAATAAGGTACCCCTCTACTAGAGGAAGCATTCCCCTTGCCCCTCGCCCCTCGCCCCTCTTCCCTCTCCCCCTTTCCCCCTCTCCCCCTCCTCTGCTGACTGTTTGCCAAGGTATTAACAGTGTCATTTGTGGTGATGATTCGCCACCAGCTCCAGAATGGCGGTCTCTGTTCAAGGGGAGGTGCAGTGTACGTTGCTTCAGCTGCTGCACCCCTGGCCGATGGGGTCGTTGCTCCTGATTGCTCAGCCAATTGTGTCACCTTCAAGGAACTTGTGTTTGTCAACAACAGTGCTTGTGATGGTGGCGCAGTGTTTCTAGGCGACGGACCTGAAGTTTCAGATGCAGGTTGTGGGGGAGCCAAAGGTGATTTCATCGGCGTTCAATTTACCAGCAATTATGCCAAGGTGACCGCCGTTAATCCGTGCCACCCCTCCCCTACCCCTCCCCCACCCTCGCCCCTCTTGCCCCCTCCCCCCCTCGCCTTTCCCAGCATTACTCTACGGCCCCTTTAAGCCCCTTGCCCCCTGCTCTTCCCCCTCTTTCTTTCTTTTTCTTTTTTTTCACTTGCGATGCCCTCGGTCCAAGGGGATCGATAAGAGCACCCCTCGGATTAAGGCCTCTCACCCTGGCTGGTCCTTCCCCCATCCACCACCTGCCCCCTACCTCTTTCCGGCCTTAATTTATCGCACCTTGAAGTGCCTTGCCCCCTGCCCATCCCTCGTTTTCTTTCCTTTCCTTTTCATTTCTTTAAACCACCAGTACTTCACCCGGCTTGAAAAACAAATATGCGGCTCTGATACGGCCGCATCTTTTGGGGGTCGGGTACCGGATCGAACTGGCTGGCGGCACCAGCCAGAAGGAGTCCGGTGCCAGTTCGTTTTTCTTGGTGCACAGGGCAAGTTTAGGGCCGGAATTGATAGCTGGGCTGGGTGCTGGTGGTTTAAAACGGAAACATCATTTACGGAAGGCCTCATTCCAAACGGGGGTGAGAAGAGCAGCCCTCGGATTGAGGCCTATGTGTCCCCCGCGGTCAGGATCTCAACTGCTGCCGCAGACCACTGTGGTTGGGTCGCGGTCGCGGGCCTTCAGGGATTTTTCCCCGCCGAATAAATGGGAAAAAAAAGAAGAAAATGGTGTTGTACGGTTTCTCAAACCCTACAACCCCTTTTTTTTTTTTTCCAAACCGCTGATTTTTTGGTATTATTTAAAACAAAAACGAAAACTGTAAAAAAAAAAAAGAATAGAATACACAAAAATGTGTGTGTGTGTGTGTCACAGTGTGTGTGTGTGTGTGTGTGTGTGTGTGTGTCACAGTATGTGTGTGTGTGTGTGTGTGTGTGTGTGTGTGTGTGTGTGTGTGACCTCTCCCCTGCCAATTAATCAATCAATCAATCAATCGAAGAAAGAAAAAAAAAGCGCGCGAGAGTGTGTGTGTGTGTGTGTTTAGGGGGGGGAGCGGAGCCCTCCCCCACCCATCAATCATTCAATCAATCAATCGAAGAAGAAAAAAAAAGTGACAAAAAAAGCGCACCAGTGTGTGTGCGTGTGTGTGTGTGTGTGTGTGAGGGTGCAATAAATCGCAGTTTCCTGGTGGGGCCGTACACTAAGTGTTTGGCTTCGTAGTTTGTTTTCTTGTTTTGAGCGTTGCGGGACTTGATCCCATGACCTGTAACTCCTGTGTTTTGTTTGTGAGTGCTGCGCCCTGTGGGACTTGATCCCTAAGTCTGTCAGTAGTAGCCTCTGTTTGGTAGCCTCAGTCCATTCGGCCTTTTCCTTTTGCCTTGTCATAGATCTAGATCCCCTTTTCCCCCTGTTTCCATCTAGGTGCAGATGAGTATTGGGTTGTTGCCTTTGGAGTCGGTCGTAGGTCTAGGCAGAGAGCGTAGAAGTAGCGAGTAGGAAATTTGGTGTGGGTCTTTTCACGTTTTCGTTGGCTGGGGAACTCTGCCCGTCCGTTCTTGGAGCACTGCTGCTCTATTTTGGGCGAGGTCATCTTCTTCCTGGAAGCCCAGCCATATTTGGGGTTGGGAAATGAAGTTGAAGATTGCACTGCTGCCATTTTGCAGCTCTGCATGAGAGCTTCACAGGACTGTGTTGTTGGGTTTGGGTGCTGCCATCTTCCACTTGGCAGCCATATCTACTGTTCGTCCTCTGGAGGAACTTTGTCTTCTTCGAATTGCTGGATTGGTTGTTTCCTTCTTCATCTGGACTTCCAGTGCTGCACTTCCGTGCGGTTGCTGAGCTAGCGCTGTTATCATTAGGGTTGCTGGTTCCGATTGGCACGTTGTGACAGCTGTGGGGTTACTGCTGCTACCGCAGCCATAACCAGGGATATGAGGTGGCAAGGAGGAAGAAGAAGACTACTGCATACTTCGTTGAACACTTGTTTCTGGTTGTTCGGGGTTGTTGTAAACGCGGTTGTGATTCTTGCAACAAGTACTCTGGATTGATTGGAGGAGGACGAGGGATTGCAGAATTGAAATTGATTTTTCAATTCTTTGTGTGTTTTGAGCTTCTGCTGTGCATATCTTCTCTCCGGTTTTGTGTGGATTTGCCTCCTTCGAGTCTACACTGCAATTGCATGCGTGTATGGAAACGTGTGAATTCGTTGTGGATTGAAGTTCAATCGGGTACATAACAAGGCACTACACTCACTCTCACCGACTTGGTCGCCTCTCCAACGCACAAGCTGTCTCTTATACACATCTAGATGTGAATAAGAGACAG